TGGTTGGATGATGGATGGATGATGGTTGGATGATGGATGGATGTTGGTTGGATGATGGATGGATGATGGATGGATGTTGGTTGGATGATGGATGGATGATGGTTGGATGATGGATGGATGATGGTTGGATGATGTTGGATGATGGATGGATGATGGTTGGATGATGTTGGATGATGGATGGATGTTGGTTGGACGATGGATGGATGATGGATGGATGTTGGTTGGACGATGGATGGATGATGGTTGGATGATGGATGGATGAGTTTCAGCGGCCCTGCCTGGACTGAAGCCACCTCCTCACCGTGTTGTTCCACATGGTGCTGACGGTCTCAAAGACGTCAAAGAGCCAGTCGACCTCCTGGATGACCTGACCTTCGTCGCTGTGCAGTGGAACCAAAATGAACTTGTTGATTTCTGGAGGACAGAAGAAGGAGGTGAACCAACATCAGGGCAGCTGTGCTTGTGTTTCCACCGCACTCACCAGTTTTGATGCTTTGGAACTGGACGACGAACGGCGGTCTGACGAAGGGGTGCCCTTTATACTGGTACAGCCCCGTCACGTTCACCGTGCGCGACCTGCTCAGGAGAAACCATTCAGAGGGAGAACAAGTCCAAAGTCCCGACGGTCACCTCCAGCCTGTGGAGACACGTCTCCAAACCAGACCAGGCGCTGGACCCCTGCGGTGTCTCACCTGTACATGAAAACATACTGCTGCATGTTGTCAGGGGAGTTCCCCAGACTCTTACTGGAAACGGACGTGTAGCGAGTCTTGTCATAGCTGCATGAATCAGAGACAAATGGCTGATTACCAACACACAACAGAGAAACCGTGGCTACAAGATCAGACGTGAAACATCAAAACGTGCAAATGACAGGACGGAAAACGTTTGATGCCAACAATGAAACTAGTACGTTTGTTCAACCTCAGAGCGCTCACACACACCGACCTTAAAATGTCATTTCTCTTCTACTACAACTCGTTCTCTGTGACCTGTGAAAACTCCTAATTACTTAAATTATACGTTTATTACATTGTTCACCAAGGACGCCGCCATTATTTTACCGGCACACTGCCTTCTGAGGCGATGGCGTACATCGGTTGTAGTGGAGACAAAACACGGAGTCGAGACTCAAGTTATAACGGTACAGACTACAATAAAATACTATAATAATTTGTCCTTATGCTCGATGTATGGGTCGAAACAACCAAACATGATCAGCGTGATGGTTATTAGCTCATAATAAGCCAAAGCTATTAGCTTCAATGCTAACTCTATTAGCTTCTAAGCTAATGCTAATGTCATCTACATTAGCTCTAGAACTAGAGCTATTAGCACTAGAGCTAACAGAAAAGTTAAGTCGTCCTTCCATTGTCCTCTCCGTTTCAAATTAAAGGACAGAATGTGAGACAATGTCCAACATTAACAGGGAGCTGAGTGGAGCTCGCACCGGAGCAACCCGTCTACGTCTTTTACCCAGAATGCATTCAGCGTGAATAAAATCTGTGCGTCATTAATTAAACAAAGATAAATTCTACACAGCCTACAGTATTTGTTTATTAAATAATGTCTGTTGTTCCAACTTCTCAAAGACCCCTTTAAAATTAAACTAAAACTCTAAATTAATCAAAATTCAGTTATTCATTGAAATTTATTTAATTGATCTCAATGTTTGATCAAAGCTCATGCTCAATAATCATCAAGGCAGGTCATCTGGACGGTGTCTTTTGTTGCCGAGACGTTTCATCCTTCATCCAAAGGACTTCCTCAGTCCGAGGAGCCACAAACAAACTTTACAACAATAGTTTTCCAAAACTTTCACAATAAAATATTTATTTAAATTTGTACCTAAGCAGCTATTTAAAACTGATCAACACAAAAAGTACAATTTGTAAATTAAAACATTTTGTTTAGGAGTCGATCACAACGTCGTCAGTTTCACGAGCGAACAAAACGCACTCTTTGGAGACTCCCGGTGGCGGTGCGGGCACGTGCACGTGCTCAGCCTTCTGATGGCCGACGTGTGAAGGAAATAACTGTGGAGCTGCGGCTCAGTAATGTGCTGAACCGATATTTGTGATGACTGCCCACAACAGATTGATTCAAGACAGAACATTGACGATGTCGTCAGGTTCACACATAATTAACTAAAGGAGGACGGCTGGACTGAGTTAAGGTGAGTGAAAGATCAGTGAACCTGAGCGGGACGTGGCTGCTTCTCCTGTGATTCATGAATTGATGAATTGATGAATTGATGAATTAATGAATCTGCCTGTGCAGCCATTTCACACAAGTGTCTTTTGAATGAGACAAATATTTACCATGTCGGTCATTCAGGACAGATCAAAAACCATCATCAATTCTTTTATTTTGAATAGTGTACACCTATCCTCGACTCCGCCCCACGCCTGTCCTAGACTCCGCCCCACGCCTGTCCTGGACTCCGCCCCACGCCTGTCCTTGACTCCGCTCCACGCCTGTCCTCGACTCCGCCCCACACCTATCCTCGACTCCGCCCCACACCTATCCTCGACCCTGCCCCACACTTATCCTCGACCCCGCCCCACACTTATCCTCGACCCCGCCCCACACTTATCCTCGACCCCGCCCCACACCTATCCTCGACCCCGCCCCACACCT